GCAGTCATCCTCATTGCCATGAGTTGGAAACGAGGCTACTTGTATACCAAAGAGAGTGAAGGAGTGAAGAATTAGGAAGCAAGTCTTCTAATGCTCAAAGTAGAAAAGGTATACAGTGGTTGAAGAACACTCAACATTCTAAATTCTGAATAGAGGCAAAGAATGAACTGGGGGATGGTAATCCACATTCACAAAAGAGTCCGCTTTACGAAACGACTTAAGTTCCTGGAGGAGTCTATGCACCGTGAGTGACCCAGGAGCAGGATGCTTCCTGACAGCACTGTCTGTGGCCTCAAGAGGGACCCCAGACTAACCCACCCTACATCTCAGCCTACACAATCAACCATGCACATTTTAAAATGAATAAACAGTAACACTGACTCATTACTCCCTTGGCATCTTCAATAGTTCCTGTAAATAGAAAGCTCTGGAAGTGCATTTAAGATGTAATTGATTTAGAAGAAAAAGAAATTTAGGGCAAAGTGCAGTACACGCTTATTCTATATTATGGACCTGCTAGGGAAAGAAAGATTTCTCTGAAAAGGAGACGTTCCAGATGTGGCAAATTACTCAGAGTAATAAAATTAACAGTGGACAGTATTCGGTTGGATAGTCAAGTCTGGCCAACTAGAATTTTAGCTTTGATTCTAATTTGGACCTGTAATCTTATTTCAGACTGATTTTCCCAATTCTTAATAAGCAGGAATGGTGGCAAACACTATCATCCCCCTTTCTGTGCTGTGATGAGGAAATGAGATAACCAATCTTGGGTTTGGGGATAGGGTGGAGTTGAGCTGAGCTATCTAAAAAAGCAGGTGAAGATGATTCTTGGATGATTCCACATTCTGTAATTTTGCAAGGTTTGGGCTTGGGATGGAGTAAGGAAGAGAAAAGGGGTTAGCAATCCTCTCTAGAGCTCTTTGGTGTTCCTTACCCAGCAGCTCTGCCTGCCTTTCTCCCCCAGATCACTGGAAGCCTAGCCCTGGAGGGAGGCAGAAATACGTGTACAAAACAAGCAGAGAAATGGGGTCATTCCCACATGCTGTTGTTGCTTTCAGTTTCTTCTCTGTTATTATAAACTTGAAAATTCTGGGTCGATTCCCAGCCTCTCTGATGGTGTTGAACTCTGTGCACTGCTATTTCACTGCCCTTGGTCATGTCCCCTAGCCCTTCCATGAAGGGAGCACAGTACACATTTCTCTTGCTTTCTCCCTGCCCCCCATTCAGGGCAGGCACTTGGTAGATATTCATTATATTCTTGAGAATCAGTGGTGGCTTTTCCTCTTCCTTTCCCGTTGGCCTCTCCTCCTACTGGAAACACTGGTCTTTCTATGTGTGACCCACACAGAATGGAAAGAAGCACTTTTGTTAAATTGTTCAAGCATTTTGCCTCTACTGTCTATCTGGTTAACATTTCCTCCCCTACATGAAACCTGCACTCTGGCTCTCTATTATTTCATGAATGTTTCTGGAGCATTCCTGAGTCCTTGGGTCTGCCTTCTGCAACATCTCATCTAGGTGGGTGGTTACTGAGAGACTGGTCTACGGGTGTGAACCAGTTCATGCTGAAATTTTCCGAAGGGAAATAAGAAACACACACATACACCACGATAATTTATTTCTCATAAGGCCAGATTCCACCAGCTTAAAGAACTGTCTTTTATTTTGAGTGGTATTTTTTTTTTAAGTTTTCAGTGTTAAAACATATCATTCTAAATAAAACGACGTTTATTTTAATTGGAATTATTTTTGGTTTTAATGGCATCACTCGGAAAAATTAAGAGTTGGCAACACTTTGTAAGACTCCATTAAAAAATTGTTCCATGAAGTCTTAATGTCTGGAAATCATTCTTCTAATCACCACATCTCCTCTGGCAGGAGAGGGCTCACCCTTGATAACCACTTTCTTTCTTTGTTTCTTTTTTTTTTTAATAATTTTTTCATGTTTATTTATTTTTGAGAGAGAGAGAGAGACAGAGCATGAGCAGGGGAGGGGCAGAGAGAGAGGGAGACACAGAATCTGAAGCAGGCTCCAGGCTCTGAGCTGTCAGCACAGAGCCCAATGCGGGATTTGAACTCACAGACCGTGAGACCATGACCTGAGCCAAAGTTGGACGCTTTAACTGACTGAGCCACCCAGGTGCCCCGATAACAGCTTTCTATTCCGAATTCTTCCTGCATCTGCCACCTTTAGTAGTCACTCATTCACTCAAAGCACTTATCAGGAACTTACTGGAAGACAGGTCCCAAGCTGAACCCTGTGGATAGCGTGGTGAAGAGAACAGGTGTGCTCGCTGCCTTCTTAGAACTTATCGTTTCTAGAAGAAAACACTTACAAATTGGGAAAAACACATGTTCCATGAGAAAACATACCAGGTAAGGCTGTCTACATATTGAAGAACAGAGTAGACTCTGAGACCTGAGGGTCAGAATGAATTACCCAGGTGAGGCACAGAGCACTGTTTAAGAAGAGTGGAAATTTCTATAACTAAATTAATACAATGTTTGGGAGACAGAAAAGGCTTTGAAGTAAGTCAGGTCTGCATTGAGACTGAGGAAAAATTGCGAAATTAAATAAGTTTACATGACTGAATACATTTCATAATATTTAAAAGAAACCCAAACAATGAGTAGGTAATGTTAAGGAAGGGGTGATAGAGAGGGCGAGGGGCACAATGAACATGTTCCAGACACAGCAAGAGCATGTGCAAAGGCCTGGAGATGAGAAAGCTTGGTGTAGAATAAATGGTTTTGATTATGACAATCTATCGCCTGTTGGCATTTCCCAAGTCAATATACTGTATTACATTATATGCAGGTTTAGTAGTAAATGAGATGCACACAACAGGTTTAATTACATGAAGCGAGCGAGAGTTAACTAGCTGTGGGGAACGGTACATTCTGACCAGCCTCCTCTGGTAGAGGATATTTAATTGGCTTGCTGTTGTATCACGTCAAGAACTGTGTTTTCTGGTTGGCACTCAAGGACTTGATGAATCGCTACTCTGACACTTGATATTCCACACTGACTTGCATGCAGTGTTTGGAACATCAGGTACGTTGCTCGTACCCTCTGAATCGCGAAGTGTTAATTCTGCAATGGTGACAGGAAAAGGCAATGTACTGAGGCTCGACAACCTCTGAAGTAGCCCACATTATTTGTCGTGGGCTCCCCAAAGAGTTCCTTTCAAAGAGGGAAAGCTGCAGCAAATAAATGAAAACCACCAGAGAGAGAGAGAGAGGAGCAATAGACACGGAGAATGGAGAATGGAGATCCCGATGAAAAATTAAAGGCATTCAAAGGCAAGAACAAACAATTGGAATACCAAGCTGTTTTCATTATGGTAGATTTATAATATGCTTCAATAGCTGGTGGGATAGATTAGACTATGCTTTTATTTTTCAAAATGTCTCTGGTTATTCTTTCATCTAATTCGTAAAATTAGATGCTTTAATTTCTTGGTAGCAGTGCTTTAAATTTTTCTAGACTTTCTTTTTTTTATTTTCAAAACTATTCTTCATAAGGACCATAAAGACCTTTAAAAAACCTATATATAGCATATTCTCTTTCTCTATATGTATGATGTATACATACATATGTACTTAGTATACAAGAGATATTTACTCGAACTCATAAAATGAACAGACTCAACAGTTATTAAATATGCATTATAGAAATAGGCTAACATTTCGGTTATTTTTTGTACTGAAAAAAAGTAAAGTAGAGCTTTAAAAATCAGTGAAATCCACTGACATGGAAACACTCTTGATGTTTTTAACACTCATATTTAAAAGCACAGGAAGCATAGTTCTTACAGGGACACAGACCAGATCAAGAATAGATATCTAGCTGAAAGAATCTGAGAAATATTTTGACAGAAGGTACACATGACCTGCAATTGTCACACTTCACACTATCTTTTTTGTGGTAGGTAACTTCTATTAGATAGAATAATTCAAGTTATAAACTAGTTTCTTTGAAATTGAGCTCCATTTTTGGTGAGAAACGACACCTCTTTCTCCATCTCTATGCAATTTACACACTCCAATCTTCGGGAAGAAGTCAATTTAAACCAGAAACTTTGGTGTTATAATAAACTCTACAGATATATTCAGTGAATTGGAACCTCAAATTTATCCCTAATGTTTCAGAGTGGATCACAGATCTTTCATCTTCCTTGTTTTCAGTTAATACAGCAACATAACTCATTAGATAGACTTCAGCTATTTGATTACTAGTGATGTGATTTCAGCCTTATTTTATCTGTCTACAAAGTAGGATCTTTGTGCATTAATTATAAGTAAGACTTTTAAATTGTGGTTTGCTTAAACAGTTATGCAAAAACGGCTTCTTTCTGACCCGGCGTCTTTCCAAATATCTTTTTTGACAGGGCAAAGTCTTCTTTCTTGGGATTCTAAGTCCTAAGAATTGGTTTGGCAACAGCTTTGTCTATGGGTAGTCTCTTTTAGGCATTGAAAAATAGCAGATGCAGCTGCAGATAAAAGGGTGCTATTTACATGTGGAGAGGACACTTGGCCTTTTGTTGGCCCATTCACCTGACATTTGCACCCACCAGGAGCCATCAGTGTGAGTAGTTCTTCCCATCAGAACATTTTTATATGCTAGTGTGTGCGTGTGTTCATATGTCTACACATGCACACGATTTATCAAATATCATGTTGGGATTATTTCAAGGTTAGGATATTGATTGAAACTGCATATGTACTTGCTGTAGCATATTTCCCACAGGGTCAGATCACGATGGCTAAAAAAGCTTGGCTTTTTTGTTTTTTGTTTTTGGCTTGGTTTTTGCATAGTGTATTCATTCTCTTTTTAATTGGATCACTAGGGGGTTATTAACATTGCTCTAGCTGAGGAAATAGAAACCTCGTAGCCTAAAAAAGTCAAGACCCTTACTAAATTACCTAATTCACAGTAGCTTTTCTCTGATTCTGTTTACTGGACGTGTGTGTCATATGTTCGTGTTGGGGGTGAGTGGGTGGGGAGGCCGTTCTGCACCACAGAAGCTTTCAAAAATTGCCAACCAGGATACTTGAAGAAATATTTTACTTTCTCTACCTCTCAGACTATTTCTAGAGCACCTGATGCCTCTGTATTCTTCATAGAGACTTTGCTGCTCTATCAAATCAGACATGCACAGAAAGCTGTCTTGGCACACAGCCTAAGAAGATTTAAGGTAAGAACTCTGGCTTATTGCTCAGCAGAATCGCAGATTTTTATCCCATCCATTTAACCAACCCCCTTCCTTTCATCAAGAAAGCAAATTAATTATCTTTTAATAACAATAATAACAAAGAAATAGCTCAAGTGTCTGCCTCCCCTTTGAAGGCCTTCCTATAACAAACCCCTTGCTTTTTCTTGCCCCCCCATCCTAGGACTGCCATGGGCCTCTGCTACTGAGGGATGAGGCAAGGAGGTAAGGGGGTTGAGAGCCTGCCCACCAGAGACAGAAGTCACACAGAGTACTCAAGTCTAGCAGGAAGGTCCAAAGAGAACTTTGGTGAGCTGAGTAAGGTTCCTTTTCATTTGTGTGAACGGAAGGAAAATGTGTCCTTCATTTTTCCTGTGGCTTAGGAGTCTTTAGGTTAAAACGTATGCATGGGAATACACAGTCATAAATATACACACAGAAACACACATAGACATGTCATGTGGCTATTGAGTGTATGAATTGTGGCCAGTTAGAATTGAAATGTGCCATAAATGTAAAAAAATACACTTAAGATTTTGAACACTTGGTGTATCTCATTAATAAGTTTTTATTTTGATTATACGTTGAAGTAATACTTTGGATGTACTGGGTTGAATAAAATACATGATTACAATTAATTTCACTTTTTAAAAAACTCTTCTTAATGTTGCTTCTAGAAAATTTAAGATTACACATATGGCTTATATTCTATTTGTATTGGGCGGCGCTGGTCTAGAGCTTTGTTACAGAAGAGAAAGATTTTCCTAATACAGCAGTATTATTGGGAATAGTGGTTCCTGTTTAACTTTATATAAAGTAGTTTTGGGGCGCCTGTGTGGCTCAGTCAGTTAAGTGCCCGACTTCAGCTAGGTCATGATCTTGTGGTCCATGAGTTCAAGCCCCATGTTCAGCTCTGTGCTGGCAGCTCTGAGCCTGGAGCCTGCTTCAGATTCTGTGTCTCCCTCTCTCTGCCCCTCCCGGCTTGCACTCTTGTCTCTCTCTCTCTCAAAATAATAAATAAGCATTAAAAAAAGTTAAAAAAAAATAAAGTAGTTTTAGTGGCCTTTTCTCATTCTCCTGCTTTCAATCCTGGGTCTACAATGTACCTCAGAATAAACTTTAAATTTACGATTTTATCTTTACATTAGGTCAGATGAAAATTTTGCATAAGAGACCTTCATCTCCCAAGAAGACAGGTAAATACGTAATTTATTTTTCCTTCCCTCCAGCAAATCTCTCGGTGTTGGGGGGGATGGGCATAGGGTGAGTTGCTGGAATTTATCAACAGTATCACTGTTTATTCTTTGCCAGCTCCTCCTCCTCACCTCAAAGCCTTCCATACACTTTCAAACGGTATTGCTATCTCCATTTTAGTGATGAGAAAACTGAGGACTGTGTAGGTCAATTCTCCAAATCTAGAGGCTAGAGAATGCTGGAACTGTGATGTAAGTTCCCGTCTCGACTATTCACTGTTAAGCACCTTCAAGACAGAAGATCCCCATGACACATTTAACCTGATGATCAAAACATAAAGATCAATGAATTATTGTTAATTTGCATGCATATTGTGCATCATATAAGTGATACATTCAGCATGTTGGTCAGTAGAGAGAAAACTGATTCCTGAAACCATCAAAATAAGGATGCAAAATGGAAAAGGGCCCTTTGGGTCCAAAGGCAATAAGTATGAAAAAAGGTTCATACATATTTTGAGACCACAACGATTTTGTAAACAATGAAATTAATTAAAAATCTTCAAAGAAAAAAATACTGTTATGTTTATTAGGCTGCTTTTGAAGTTATCCTTTCTTAACTTTTGAAATTATTGAATTAGTTGCATCTTCCCTAAGACCCTAGATCAGGCTTTTATCCAAATGTGTGCTTGCTCTATTTTCTAATATGTACAAGGTCTAATTTATGCTCACGCACTGCATGAATACTTGGTAAGCCTTGGTGAACATCTGCCTTATTCCAGGCTTTCAGTTATATGCTGGGAAGACAAATATGAATATGAATATGGTCCCTGCCCTTTTAAGATTCAGTGTCTGGTGAAGTAGGAAAAATGCATGTGAGAAGTGTTATGGCAAGCAGATGAATTCGAGACCATAGGAAGGGTACCTGGTAGGCAAAGTTCAAAGATGGCTTCTAAGTTTCCCACCTTCTGGTGCACATGCCCCTGATAAACCCCTCCTTTTGAGTGTGTGCAGGACCTGTGAATATGATAGGATAACTGTCAAAATCAGGTTGCTAATCAGTTGACTTTGAAATAGGGGAGATTCTCTAACGTGCCTTACCTAATCAGGTGAGCCTTCAACAAGGACTGGTGGGCCCTTTCTAAAGTCAGGGATATTGGAAGCGTGGAAGAACCTAGGGAGGAGGCCATGTGGCAAGGACCCAAGAGCCGCTTCTAGAAGCTGATAGCCATCACTGGCTGCCAGCTAACAAGATGATGGGGACCACAGTTCCACAACTGCAAGGAAATGATTTCTGCCAATAAGCCGAGGGAGCTTGGAAATGGATCTCACTCTACTTGAGGTTTCAGATGAGGACACATATGGTTGACACCTTGACGGCAGCCTTGTGGAGACCCTGAGCAGAGAACACTGCCATACTGTGCTTGGACTTCTGGCCTAGAGAACTATGATCTAATACATGAGTGTTGTTTTAAGCCATTAAGTCTGTGGCAACTTGCTATGCAGCAATAAGAAACCAGAGCATGCCCCTACACCCGTCTAGGCCGGGTGGGTTGGGTTCAGAAAAGACTTCAAAGGAAGGAAGAATAGCTGAGTTGTGTCTTGCTGGATGAGCAGGCAAGAAGCAAGTTGAGAAGTAAGGGGAGTTACATGCAGAGAAAGACTTTGGAGCACAGAAACTCAGCCTTGACTGCAGCATGTTGAAATTACCTGGGGAGTTAAACATAACTGATGCTTTGGTCCCATTCCTTGGGATACTGACATAATTTGTCTGGGTTGCAACCTCGATATTGAGATTTTAAAAATCTATCCAGGTGGTTCTAAAGAACAACTAAAGCTAGGACTACATTTTAGACAGAGTGGAACTGTAAGTAGCTCAGGGTGGTTGTGTCACAAGGAAAGGTGGAATAGGAAGCTAAGAAAAAAAAAAGGCAGAGACCAGATAGTGACCTTTTTTATTTTTAATAAAAAATCTAACTGAAACAATTGATGAAACTCTTGACTAGAATCTTACTTGGTTTGAAAATGGTGAACACGTGGTGTGTTAGACAATGGGAGGGCAAGAACTCTGTGAGGATAAGAAATGTTTGTGTTTTCAGTTAACTTTGAAGCCTATTTCATGGCATTTAACACAGGAGGTGCTTAGCAAATGTTTGAATGAATGAAAATTGATGGGGAGTGCTCAGGAGAGAAACTGGAAGTATCAGATATAGGCTGGAAGAGCTACCTGTCTATTTTGTAATCCGGTTGATTATACTCATAATGTTCTCTCTTTCAAGGCACAGTACTTTCCCCAAAGATGAAACATATTCCTATTGCTTGCCTTACTGCTGTCATCTGGAATGGGAGATGATGCTTCCTTTTCATTACTACAAGTTTGATGTGGCTAATACCAACACAAAAGAAAAGAAAAGTTGATTTTGGATTGCTTTAATAACGTTAATGTCAATTAACATGTTAATACTGTATAATGTTCAGTTCAAAAGACAGTGCTATAGTAACATAGGTAGGTAAACACAGGATATATAAGGGATACTTGGGAAAGGACAGTTGAACAAATTATGCCCAGAGTCCTTGAATGTAGTTCGTTGAATGAATGCCATTCTCTTCCTTTTATTAAATACTCTGTGCCCAGTACTGGGCAATGTGCTCTGCATTCATTATGATACAACATTTTATTTAATCTTCACCAAATCCATTGAAGTAGAGGTTAATATCTACATTTTACATATGGATATTAAAAAACGGAGGACACATAATTTCTACGTAACGGAGCCAGGATTTGTTATGAAATCTGCCAGACTCCAAAACCACGAGGTTAGGAGTAATTCTGTTTGGGAAAGGATACTGCTGAAGACTTCTAAATTCTTCTGATGTCCCAGAACACATTTGATCTTTAGATATACCATAGTGAAGAATTTTATTTTGAGGAAATGGACTTACTGATTAATTGATTTCTACTGGGTGCAAAAGAATGATGTAAAATCAGTTTTGGAATTAACTAGTTAATGTTTACAGAAGTTTTGGGTTGCATCAAAATATTCCAGTATTTTTTTTTTTACTTCAGAAAGAGAAACAGGATTTCAAAATGTGAATCATCAAAAGTAAGTTGTCTGTTTTCAACTCAGATGCTGTTATCCCTAATATATATATTATCTACCTATCTATAAATGCATACATAACTTTATAAATACAAAGGTTGTCAGTTACATCCATTAAATAAATTTGCTTTCACATAATGAGCAATATATTTTCTTTGATATTTAGGCTATCAAATTTTGATCCTTTGTTGCACAAAATGGGTAAAAATATACTAAAAAATGATTTTTTTTCTGTCATCTCTTTCCGTGCAAACTCCCTAAAGTTCAATGATCCTACCTTTTTATGTGTTGGACATTTAACTTTTAGGGCATTACATGTGGTCCTGTCTGGATTATTGTTTAAAATTTTGGATCACTTTATGTATTTATAATATTTATGGTATAGCTGAAGTAACTGTGTATCATAGAGTAACAATCACATGATTATTATTTCCATTTCAATTTTAAATCTCTATACACTCTTATTTTTAGTTTGGATTTTGCCACAAACATTCTATTTAATTCACTACAAAACTATAAAGCTGTATCCTAAAAAGTCACATGTGAATTGTGTAAAAGTGACTGGCAGAATATGATATTAATAGGTTATTGACTTGTTAGGTCTTAAAGAGCCAAAGGGAACATCCCTTGCAGCCCCCTCAATGCACTGGAGGTTTGTTTCATTGATTGGTCTGCTTAACCCATCATCTCCAGGCATTTAAACAATGATATACGCTTGACAAACCTAATATTTCATTTTGTATCTGGGGACCATGGAACAGAAATTAAAGGAAAGAAAGACAAATGGACAGATATACAAGCGGAAAATGATGATAAATGTGAGAGAGAAGGAAGAGACAAATACAACACAGACCAAAATTTGGATCAGTAAATTCTGGAATCGGTAAATGCACAACCTAATAGCAAATGTAATTCCCAGGAGATCGTGAGGGGAAGAAATTTAACATTTCTATTGTAAGCAAAATTCAGATTTAGATACAGAGCAGCCAGCAAAGCAAATAAGATATCAAATAAGTGGTGGCTATCTTTTTTGGATGTGTGTGTATGTGTGTAGGAGAGAGATAGAGACAGAGACAGACACACAGAGACAAAAATGATAGAGAAGCCATTTTTAAAAAGTGTTCTGAATACTTCTGTACAGGGCAAATCTAGGCACTTAATTTACCTGATCTTTGCTTTTTAAACCTTGAAGGAGGTGCCATGGCATGAGAAATACTTTCCTTTTTAAAAATGTAGTCTTTTCGGGGCGCCTGGGTGGCGCAGTCGGTTGAGCGTCCGACTTCAGCCAGGTCACGATCTCGCGGTCCGGGAGTTCGAGCCCCGCGTCAGGTTCTGGGCTGACAGCTCAGAGCCTGGAGCCTGTTTCCGATTCTGTGTCTCCCTCTCTCTCTGCCCCTGCCCCGTTCATGCTCTGTCTCTCTCTGTCCCAAAAATAAATAAACGTTGAAAAAAAATTAAAAAAAAAAAGTAGTCTTTTCTTCTGTTACCAATTTAAAAAGGGGAAACTTTACAATAGCCTATCTCAGGTCCCTTGAATCTCTCTCTGGTGTGATAGAGAACAGAACAAAATATAGAAAACAATATATTTGCCAAAGACTAGTTATTCTATGGGACTTGATCTGATTACGATTTCATTCTTTAAAAAATTTTTTTTAATGTTTATTCATTTTTGAGAGAGAGACACAGAGCATGAGTCGGGGAGGAGCAGAGAGAGACACACACACAGAACTCGAAGCAGACTCCAGGCTCTGAGCTGTCAGCACAGAGCTCGAACTCATGAACCATGAGGATCTATCAGGATAACTGACAAAACATTTGAGTAGGTTTTCTTCTGGGAAAGGCTGGGAATATATCTTCTGGGAAAGCCTGAGGATTGACTGAGCCACATATTCAATCACACTCTTT